TATAGAACTCTTTTTTTCGTTTTTGTAAGTCACATTAAATTTCTCTGTACTTCCATTCCATACTTTGAGTCTTTTAACAATCATGAATCAACATTTAGTTTTTAGTTGAGTAGCTATAGGAAAATTAGCTTAGAATGCTTTAGCATAGTCTTTGAAGGTTCCTTTGTAGTTGACTGAAAGACAGGCTGCAGCAGACGACACAATGCCAGTATTGCATACGTACTGAGATGTGCTTTTGCACCCCCCAGAACAAAGCGGGACAGTTGAATGAAAATGGAAGGTAATGTTCACAGCCAATGTTCTATCTTCAAGTCATGAAGTCCAAATATAACCTTACCTAAAACTAATTAACTAAATTATTTAATGAAATTTTGTTATCAATGTAATTAAACTTACTACTTTATAATTCTCATTATCATGTGATCCCTTTCCAAAGCAAACAAAAGCTCATCCTGCTACAAATTAAAATATTACAAAGGAAAAAAAACGTATTAACTTCAAATATCTACAATTTATTTTATGTGGTGTCCAGTGTATCTAAAGCAACTCAAGGGTAAACATCAGTTATTCAGAATTTTATGAAAAATTCCTGACCAACAAGAAGTCAACATCATATTCAGTCAGCAAAAGATATTCCAGTGCCAACCCATATAACCCAAATACTCCATACAATACTGAAATATTCTTGCAGATAGAGAAGACATCAACTACTAAAGAGAACAAAGAAACAAAACAATGAGTTAATGTGTGGACTTTCTGGACATGTTGCTGTCATGTGACAGCAAAGAAACTAAATAATAAAAAATATCAAAAGCTTTCATCACAAATTCTAACACTGGAACGTTACTTTCAAACTTTTTCAATGCACTTGAATTTGATCTTCTAAATGCATACTTAACTATTTGATAGACACCATATGAACTAGTATTTATCCTTTACAACTTGCCATACATAATATTAAATGTTAATTTGGTTCTGGAATTATAAAATATTAACAAGCATGCCATCACCTCATTTAATAATGCTGAACACCTGCTACACTAAAATACTTCAGACCACCATGTAACAAGCAACCTTACTTCCCACTTGGCTTGGAATAAATTTGAAACATTAGAATATCTCTGCACACTGCATCATTTGAAACAGTATGACAAAGATATTTCATTTTCAACTTTGTAAGACCTTTTGATGCATGAGCACCCCCTGAAGTTATTATCTATACAAGAGAAGTAAGGGTTTGTTCAGTGGTAATTCTCCTACATATACTAAGCATTTGTGAATTGACAAAAACTGCATATTTTGAACCTTTCTACCGCAGGATCACTCTTAACACACATGTATTGTCCTGTACCAAAATATGCATCCCAAATGTTTTTTTCTTTTTTTTTGACAGGTCTAGTTCTTGAAGCTCTTTTCCATTTCCAATTAAGTTAGCCAAAAGGTTTCTTTATACTGGGAACTGTTTGTCATGAAGCTGAAAAACCATTGTGTCTGAACCTTGAAATACTCAGACACAATTTGTAAGATCATCTATAACAGCTATTTAATAGTTCTGTTACACTGAACAAGGCCTGGAGCATTCATCTTCTAGAAAATGTCTCCTAATTTATTACTTGTGCCAGTAGATCCATCATGAGTCCGAGTAATGAAAGAATAAGCATTTCCTTAATTCCTTGCCTCTTTTTCCTTTCTCAAGGACCTACATTATTATTTGATAAATGCAAAAGATGCTGAAATGCAGTCAGTTTACTGCATGACAGGGTGGGTGGGCAGTTCATGCTCATACTGTATGCAGCTGAACATCATAAACAAAAAACACTCAATTGAGTTCAGTTGTTATAGAGCTGTATGATGTATAACAAATATTGATGTGCTGCAGTGAAAATTTTATCAACTGAAGGTATGTTACCAATTTGCCGAGCTATTCACAATGGCAGATATTGAAATACTTGCCAATTTTCTAATTAGATATGCAGCAACCTCCAGAATGAACTTTACTGGTGGAGAAAAAAACTGGAAACTACAGGTCCATGGGAAATTCTCCTTACTGTTGCTCTTCCAATGGGAGGCATGGCTATATGGTTGCTTATTGTGCAAGAATGTCAATAGCCAGTGTCCGTCAGTGGTGAACTAAATGATATTTTGAGGTTACAGACTCTATCATGTTTGAATGAGAATGGACACAAGTAGCAATAATTACTATGGATAAATCCAATGTTTCCCATTTAGTTAGATACATTAGATTCAAACAATCATGTACTAGATCCTGAGTGAATTCATCAGGAATACATCTCAAGGAAAGATACCAGTCTAATCAAATCATGAATCCAGTGAAAAGAGTTTGTTCATAAGTAAATATACAAAATGCTTTTGTCTGTGATTAAATAAAGATGGTTTCTTTACATGTTACACATCATGTCTATTACTTTTTTGCTAAAACAAAGTTAATTTTAGCAAAATCTAATATTACTTCATGATATATCCTACCAGTCCTCCTGTTATTTAGGTGACTTACCTAAAACTCTTTGAGGAAATCAATTTTACCTGAAGATACCACACTATTAAAAAACACAAAACCATACTGACTCTTCTCACAATTAAACAATAAGTCAAAGATTCTAAGTCACACCTAAATCCTGTTCATTTTCTCTTATGTTCCTCTCACATAATACAGTTTGTTTCCAAATTTCAAACCTTAGCTTCCATTCACAAAATTTTCAGGTTTTTGTGGATTAACGAAACATTTTTAACAGTACCAATCTCATAAATCTTGTATTTTCAGCAAACTTTATTAACTTGTTACCCAAATAGGTATTTAAATAATTGATTACTTCTCAACTCTCACCCCCTTCTGCAGAAGAATCACGCTCTGGAACAAAATTCTTGTGCATTCAAAAATAGATTCCAACAACATTTGTTTTTCATCACATTCAATGAAATCATTAGTTTCTGCTAGAGTTCAGTTACATGTATCAATGTACATACATTTTTTCTTAAATAAAAAAATCACAGCACTGATTACATTTATATTTTATACTTAAGTAATCCAGAAATCTTGTCATTTCTTAGAGTTGCTACAATTGGCCATAAAATCTCTTATTGGCATAACCAACAGTACTGTAAAAATAGCATTTTATGTTTCCAACAACTTTTGTTTGATAGTTTTAATCAATAGTTTGATTCATTGTTCACTAGTAAAAGAAAACACACTACAGGAAACAGTTAAGTGTATATTACTTAAATATGTTTAATATGTTACAATTACACACAGTCTCTCTCTCCAAAGAAAAATTTCTGCTATCCTGATGACTAAAAGCTAAAATGTATCACCTTGGAATTATATATATATATATATATACACACACCAAAGAAATTAATTCCAAAGTTACATATATTAATTATTTACAGAACTTTGTTTTAAGTTTCTCATCCTTAGATAAAAAAACTAACTAGCAAATCAAGTAATATGCAAGTACAAAATTTGTATAGCTTTATTACTGCAACCACATCAGTGCACTTTAGGGTTAATTTTTGTATACTATATAAAAACATATGCTTTAAGAGTTTAATAATACATTCTTTCTATTACTGTTGAATGACAGTACTTATTTTAGACAACAGAATGTAGCTGTGCACATATTTAGAAGAGAATATAATGCTTATTCGAATATTGTCCTGATAACCAAGTCTTCATACATCAAGTTCAACATTGACAAAAGCCGGAGGATGATTCAAGTTATAAGCTTAAACTTGCAGTTCAATGATATTGATAGTTCATAAAGAAGTATTATCAGTAGCCTCATTTTCCAAACTACCCTCCCCCCAACACTTAATAGTACTCGAAGCAACCACCTAACCTGTTGTAATTGATTCAAGAAAAACATTAGGCTAGCTACAATTATGATTGGGGTCATTCTGTGTTTTACAATAGTATAAATATGTATACACCAGATGTTCTCCTATATTAAACTGTCAATTAAGTTTTCTTTAATATTAACTACATACTACTGTCAAAGAAACTTCCTGTGCAGCTGCTTTGAACAGACAAGTTTTATTTTTCTTTAACCTGCATGACAAATCAACGTAACATCAAATGTCCACAGTGTAAACATAGTATATCCACGTACTATAAGAATAACATCTGATTACACACAAAATACATCACATGTGTTTCTTGATTAGGTAAATCTTATCAATATTGCACAGTTAGTTTGCTTTTCGTACAGTTTGCTATCTTTTTACCTCCAAGATAGCACTTTGGTTAAAAAAAACCTTAACATTCATAAAGTCAATATACTAAGGATCTAGTTTATTATAATGGTTACCTCTCTATGTATTTAAAAATCTACATGTAAATGCATGTTGTTTTTAAGCAGAAGTGTTTTATTCTTTGATTAATATTAAAACAATTACTTAACTATGTTTCACTAAAAGCTTGAGTTTTTAGAAGAGTTTTGTAGGACAAATTTCTTGGTAAGAGGCTTCAATGAATATTTTCAATAAAGTAAAAGGTTAAACTTTATGTGAACTTCAAATGAGTGGTCACTTCATGATTTTTATATATATTTTTCAATTTGGATTTTAAATAAAACAAAGACTTTATGATGAATGTATATTTATGTTCTTCAAATCAGCAATAATAAATTTTAGTGAGGCTGAATTTTAGGTGTATGAAAAACAAACTGTGAACTATGAATTCCCAATAAGAACAGTAAATGTAAGTTAGGTATTATAGATATCTCCAATAATTTATAATAAATGAGCATAATTTTTCAAGTTCTTAATCATTTGTTGTTTTTGCAATGTCATTCAATTTTTCCACTTCCTGGACACCAGAAGCCACCAATTGATTTCCAAGTTGCCACACCTGTGCTTTTCCATCAGACGTTCCTGATGCTAAAAGTTCAAAACTCTGTGGATTAAACTGCAGAGCTGTACCTGAACAGGAGTTCTGAGAAAATGACAAAGATGACACAGGAGCAGAACAACTAGCCTGTAGGTCATATATCTGAAGTTCCCCATTAGCTGTAACAGTACTGATGACCAATGGACGCACTACAGACCACCATGATTTTTGAAACCCAACAGGTGATTGAATTGTAAGGACAGGTTTGGACTGGAGAAGACTGTAAATTCTGAGTTCTCCATCACTTCCACATGTCAAAAACAGGTTTCGAGTATGAGGAGAACACTGGATAGAGCCTATGTACCCTCGATGAGGTGTAAAGCTCATTACTACTGGATTCTTCAGTGTAAAAGATGATGCTCCATATCCTGCTACAGATTGGGAATTAAAGGAACCTTGGATAACTCCTCCCCCTTCAGTTGCAATCAAACAAATAGATGGATCCTCTGAATTTAAAGACATACTAGTGATTCCAACCTCAGAATCAGGACGGGTGCTTTTAATTCCCAAATTTCTTGGTAAATGGTCAGCCAATAAAATAAACCCATCTTTAATTTCAAGAGATTGATTTCTGTCATTTATCTTCCAAAACAGGATTTTTCCATCCAAGCTGGTGCTAATGAAGGAAAACTGGTCTTGATGTGTGGGAATCCAGTGTAAACTAGTTATAGCTTCATGATGGCTATCTGTTACTGCTCCGGTCGTGGCTAAGGTCATATCATCTTCTCTTCCTGTATTCCACAGAACAATTTCACCACTAAATTTTCCTCCAGCTAAGACAGGGGCAAGGTTACTATGAAAAGATAAACAAGTAAGGCAACAATCAGTTTCAATGACAGTGTTTGGTTTTCTACTGTTGAAATCTCTTCGATGAAGGTTCCACAAACAGACTGCTGAATCATGGGTACACCAATCATCATGCAGCACAGAACTATATCCAACTGCAAGTAACGTCCCAGTGGAATTCCATGACAAATCAGAACACTGAAATTCAGAATCTTTAAGTAAAGGTTCATATACCAGAGTGTGCTTTAAATCTGTGTTTCCATACTCAAGATCTGATCTCAAGGTGTAACGATCAAATGCATGACTACGGCTATTCTTCTCCAGCTGGGCACACATAACATCTGTTACTTTATTCAAAAACTGTAAAACTCCAGAAATAAGTTCTGGATTGCTCATATTGTCAATGTTAAAATGTTTTTCATCTTTGTTTTCATCTGTTTGAATTTCAACTTCACTCTTTTCAGGGACTTGTGTTTCTTCAGTAGCTGTCAAAAGAGCCTCAGTTTGAGATTCATTATTTTGTGTTGCTCTAGTCTCTTTCCATGCAGAAACAAATTCTGTATAATTGGGTTGGTGATCTTCAAACATCCTGAAATCCAACAATCCACATTAAACATACAATATCTTGATCATCTATTTACCGCATTATCATAACTAAGAACATTTAGTCTAAAACAGAAAATCTGTCCACACTGTAGAGTGAGGAAAATTCCAAAATATAACACAATTACACTGAAAAGTTCACAGAAAAAATCCTGTAACTTATACAAACTATTTTTCACCAATTTAAACTAAAGATATGATACCAAGTTTTTAATTTGACTCTTGAAAAATTTTATCCAGATCAACTATTTATACAAAATTAGCAGTAACCAATTCACTGAGTTCAGTTGTCAAGTGCCATGTGAAAACTGCTTATTTGCATAATAAACTCATCCATGTCTTAAAACTAAATTAGCTTTTATAATTATAATAAGAGTAACACTGCCAGTATCACAGTATCAGTGCTACTAACACTTAGTAACACTATAGACATGTTGATGTAACATCACAATATACAATACTAAGTACAATTAAACTGTAAAGTGTTAGTATCAGTCTTTCGACTATTCAATTTTATTCCAGGCTTAGAAACAAACACGAACTTTGGAGCTACAGCTTAAAACTATAAGTACAACATCTAATTTATGAATATACGGTTACTGTACTAAAGTACTCACTTAAGTTACTATGCAATTGCATTCATATATCTTTAACCTGTAAAATAAAGTTATTTTCTGTTCGTAATTGATAACCGGTATAACTACAAATACAATCCACAACTAAATTTCTGCGTTGGTATTTACATTTATAGCGCCATCTATTATTTTTAAAATAAATTTATTGATACAAGAAATATACAACAAAGAAAGTATACCAATTACGATAAAGCAAATATAAGTGAGCCAAAGATTTATATCAAGATACTTTTTTGTGTGTAAACGTTCAATATAAATAATGTTGATTATTTATCATCATTAATCAAACATTTCTCCTTCAAAATGTTTATTTTCTATGATGTAATTCTGAACTGTATCTATCATAAATGATTAACAAAATTCATACCAATGCGTTCTTATGATATGTGTATGTAAAAATGTTCACTGATTTTAGTTTTCTTTAGAATTTTTGAAACATAATCCAATTTTCTCGTCTCCGGTCGGTCAGTGGTACGTGTACAGACTTACGATGCAAAAATCAAGGTTCTATTCCTTGCAGCGGACAAAGTGCAGATAACCCAATGCGTGGCTTTGCAATTAATATTGTTCCGCCTCTGTTCGTTTGTTAATTTTCCGTAAAAAATATTTCCGAAGAAACTTTAGCGATAGAAGTCATTTCTTAAATAAAACTAGTTTATTCTTTTTCAATACAACTTTGAAATTCACTTAATTTCCACAGTCACGCTATAACTTAAACAAACGCTATAATTCACAACAAACGATTAACGCGCTTGACTCAAATGCCCGTCTCTATCTCTGTCTGTAATTAAATTCCATTGTTGCCGTCACTTCTTACCGGTCTTACATATACAAAAAGCGTACATCTCGTTTCTTCGCGAATCTCCTAGAATATCATGACGTGTTACCAGCGTCACGTGACTACCGCTGTCGTAACAATATCAATAACAAAAATATTTTTTTTTCTCTGTGTAAGACGTTTTCCTTTTCATTGTTGAAATTTATATGTTACAACTAATAGTTTGATTGAAACAAATCATTTTGTTTCTGTTATTCTAACTTATCAACTAACAAAGCTACTCCAATGTACGAAAAAATGTAAGATTTATCAAACACAATACAAGTTTTACAAAGTATTAAACATCAATGAAAGAGTGCGTGACTAGAACTGTATTAATAAATATTTCATTCTCAGAATATAAACACCAGTAATAATAAATAATCACAAACTAATATTGATAATAATGAAACAGGAAAAATAACCAGATAGGACAAACCTCAGTCGTATGATTATTCAAAATAACAATATTGAGCAATTCTCAAATAATATCGTTAAAATACAAATAGGCATCAAGCGAGTATTTGCAATAATATCTTTTAAGTTTTCGTATCTTCCGTCAGTTTAACTCCAAGTCTTAAGACTTTTCATTATAACACTAGTTTACATGTCACATGACTAACTACTTGAGATTTGTTTTATATAATTAATCAAAAATTTAGTACACTTGCATCACAACTAAGGGAGCCTCATGTTGGTGAATTAATCTAAATATCATTCGTTTGATGTTTCATACATACTAAGAGGTAGGTGAGGTAGCAGTTAAAAGGAAGTAAAAATATAAATAAGCTAAACAGTGGAAAGAAAAATATATAACGAAAAACAAAATTATAATTACAAACAAAATAGAAATCACCATCTCACATTGCTTAATCTTTGATAACTCATTCTGTGTTTTTGCTCTAGAACAAACAAACAAACTCAATTTTCTTCTCATTATTTCGTTATACGAAACACCTTTATACTAACACTGAAACCCTATATAGCTTAAGTACAGATACCTTAACTGAGATTTTTTTTTTCAAAGTATACTTTGTCCGGTCTTATCTTGGTTCAAATATAAAGAAGTGTGTACTCTTTCCTTCTGGATTTCATATTGTTGACACCAGTGAAAGTGATCCTGACAGTGACGACGACTGACAACAACCGACTTGTTGTTTTGACCATATAATACTCGCAAGGACTTTAACAACAGTGAGACAGTTAAATCCTTCAGTTATAGGATGGTTTCAATTCCTGATTAATGAACGGATCTTGCTTGATCTATCTAGAGTAGCTACAGTTCAATAACTAAATCAATAACTTAGATGGCGTAAAGGTATCCCCGGAGTCAACTAGCGAAGGTTATTTCGTATCCCATATGCTGTGAGGAAATAGTGAACTGTTACTATAAGCTGAACCGGAGATAGAAAGAAACTTTACCGATGGAAGTCCTTTCTTAAATAAAACTGGTTTATTATTTCTGAATATAACTTTGCGATACACTTAATTTCAACAGTTGCGCTATAATAAACACTATAATTCTCAACGAACGTATCACGTGCTCGACTCAACAATACTCAGTTCAATTACACACATTGTTGCCGGCACTTTGTGACCGTCTTATATATACAAGACTACACTATATCTAGAAGGATCCCGAGATTTAAGGAAGGGGCGTGAATGTTCGAGAAGGACGTGGCGTGATACTAGTCACGTGACCTCTGCTGACGAAACAGTATGATTCTTCTGGTTGGCAGAATTTACTGTTACTTATTTTCAGTTACGTTAGTCTTATAAAGCTTATAAACACAATAAGTAATCAGTGTATGATTTTAAACTCTCTTTTGTCATTATAGATTAATCCTATATCTTCTGCAATAAATAATTTCACTGGAAAATTTCACCAAGGTGAAATGGATTTCTTGAAATTACAAAGTGTTTAACTCAATTAGTATATGAAATAAAAGATCGGTCTAAAAAAATTGTAGGACAGTTCCATGTTTGGAAAGATTTTTTACGGAAAAGTAACGAACGAACGGAGACGTAACAATACTTTTGTGAGCTATATATTTTTAGAGCTGTAATTTATTTGTTAGCTAGAGGAAGACATAGACTGTTCGCACTGTTGCCAATCTTGCGAATTTGTCGCAACATCTAGGAAGTTTTTTAAACTACCCGGAGACAAAAATAAGGGTCGTAACGACAAATCCAGCGAATTCATTGAAAAATCTAGCTAATTCTAATGACTGGCTATGGTGTTGGTTAAAAATAAAAGTTTGTGAGTTTGATTACCATTATGAAAATTTTATTTTGATTTACAGCTATCATTAGGAAATGGTGTCTGATGCAGTGCAAATAATACTATAATATCAAACACCATGCATGAAATATTTTCCCAAAAGTAGGGTTGAGTTTTTAAGACGTTCATACCTTCAACAATGGAAACAAAACGTTAAAAACAATACAGAAACTAGATCTTCTTTAATCTCAATTTCTTATTAAATTAATGTATAATTATTGTACTAGGTATAGGTTCAAATATTATTAGAAAGTTTATCTATACAAGCTAAATGCACGTGAAAAATTTATAAATCTGATATAGAATACATGTGACATGGGCCTAATTATTTCTTGACGCTTAATTCGTGTTCTTTTGTAAATTACATAAAGTCGTGTTTCATCATACCAACTTTTTTAAGTTGATTCTTGAAAGTCGTAATTTCACCCTCTAAAATTTTCTTAGTTTTTTCGCTACAACAAAACTTCTTCGAAGCTATTAAAGCATCGCAGAAATGTTGAAGCCATTTAAGCACCAGTATACTAGTAGAAAATGCTCCGTTTCAAACTAGTTGGAAATGCTTCGTTTTATTAAACAACTAGATCACCCATGACCCGTTGGGTCACCCACTATTCAGAGGTTATGAAG